GAGAATGAGACATGGAATGAAGACAGAGAGTGAGAGAGAGAGAGAGAGAATTGAGAGCGAGAGAATTCGAGAGAGAGCCCAGAGAGAGAGAGAGAGAGAGAGAGAGCGAGAGAGAGAGAGAGAGAGAGAGAGAGAGAGATTACGAGAGAGAGAGAGAGAGAGAGAGAGAGAGAGAATAAAATGGTCGTTTATGGATTACCATTATGAAGATACAAGTATGACTCAAAAGGTTTTTAAAATATTTAGATTCAAAGTGCATTATAAAGGAACAGTGTGAATTTCCTTTTCAAACTAAATTCTAAAATCAACTATGGTAAACGAACAGACCATATGAAATGAGTAAGGTTCCATTGTATAAATTAAAGGTAATACAGAAAAAAGAAACAGTATTATCATCCAGGTAATTTCTCTTTAGTATGAGCATTAAAAATCATCAGGCATGATGGCAATGCAATGGCAGGTGCAACTAGCGCTGTGGGGTTATAATTCATAAAAACAAAAAGTATGGGAAATAAACAAAAGAAATAAATTACCTTCTACATATATTTCCCTTGTTATACATTCAGAAAATGTTAGAAAAGAAATGGCTGCTCTGGTCTTTAATAAAATCCCCAGTATCTATCTACTGTTGTGTTTGAGTTCATGAATGTATTGTTGTGTGTAATGTATAGTAAGTATGATTTTTAAAGATTTTTTTTTTCTAAGATTTAGTTTTAATTCCATTTGTTACAATGGATATTCTTTGCTGTGACATACTGTCTGTTTTATTTTGCCCAAATCTCCCCCTGTGTGCAAGAAATGGCCAGGGTTACCATTCACTGGCCGGGTGTGGGATTGAACGCAGGTTCGCAAGATTGCTAGACTAGCACTTTACTGCTGCGCCAGTACAGCACACATGAAGTGAATATGACAGTATATGAAATGAACTGTTTATTCTCTGTATGCTTGTCTATGTATTTGTTTCCTATATTTGCATTTGATCATTGCAAATATAATGTTTTCATACCAAAAACAACCACATTTATCAAACATCAATGTATTAGACATGAAAATGTAGAAACAATTTTCAAGATGTTATCTACCTCACCTATGATGTTATAATTCAGAACAGCCCAACATAAACAAAATTATGATCTTCCTGAATATATTTGTCACCTCTGTCTGATAAGGCATGAAATTACCCTGAAATTGCTAAACTTCCCATAAGAACACTAATGTATCATGTACTATGTATGCAAATGTACACGCAAAAGTAATCTTTTCATCAAGCAGGTTCATACTGGTTGTACATTTAATCACAGAATCAAATAACTACGATGTTTATTGTGAATGTGTAAGTTTCATGGTGTACCAATTCCTTATCTATTATTATTAAAAAGAAAGGATTCAATAACAATAAAATTAAAATCAACAAAATCATTAACACAAAACAAGTTAATATATTGCTGTGAGGGATTTTGTTGCTTTTTTCATAAATTTTTCAAATCTACAAGGCAATGGTTCTAAACTTGCCTTTACACTTTATTTTTGAAAAGAACACTACTTCAAATAAAACTTCAATTTCCAGTTTCTTCATTCAATAACAAAAAATTTATATATCTACCAAAATTCTATGAATCCAACAGGAAGGTTATGTACCAGAGCCTTTCAATAAACAAGCACAACATAAAACAACAAAAGATGAAACAAATCAATTTAAAATCAAAGCGGGAAAGAACCCCCTACCCCTTTGCCCTCCCATTCAACAAAAGCAACTATCAAATTGTGTTTGATATGACAAACGATTACCTGTCTCATTGTTGCATCCATGAAACCATCTACCATCATGTCCTTTAAAAAGAAAATAAAGGTCTTCATCTTTGAAGAAATAAAATCTAAAAAAAATCCAGAAAATGAGAACGAAAAGGGGATAGTATTATGAAATCATAAAATCTGTACATAATGGCACACAAAAGCATTATCATAAAAGAAATCTACATAATCACTGCCATTTTTCTGCTCTACATGAGCAGAAAAATATCTCTGCAAGAGAACTTTTTTAACACATTATTTTTCTTAATCAAAACATCATTTCCAATAATCATCAAGCATAATATACATGTATAGAAATGCTTCACTACCAAAATCACTGTGGTGTTACAAATTAAATAGCATGTTAGTACACTCAATATATGTTAATGACTACAAAATTATCAGGTTAATGACAGAGGTTAACAAAGCATGAGGCTAAAAGCACTTCCTCTCTCTAAGAAAATCCTTCTACTCTCATAAAAAGCTGGTCACAAAAGCTACAGATTCTTCTACCTAGTGTCAGGTTAGGACATGTAATACCAATACATTCTAACCCCTTCATTAAGTGAGGAAATGTTGTGCATCCCATGTCTTGCAATTTCATAATTTGATTGGTTATATAAAAAAACAAACCACTCAAGCTGCTTTCAAAGCAGCAATGATTTAATTACTATCTAACAAATTACTCCCCCCCCCTCTCTCCTCTCTCTCCCCTCCCTCCCTCTCTCTCCCCATCCCTCCCTCTCTCTCCCCTCTCTCTCCTCCCCTCCCTCTCTCTCTCACTCTCTCACACACACTCACTCACTCACTCACTACAACTCACTCAACACAGGTACTCACTCACTCAACTCACACATACTCCACTCACACTCACTCACTCTCACTCACTCACTCACCACACACTCACTCTCTCACACACACTCCACTCACTCACTCACTCACACACACATACTCCACTCACTCACTCACTCACACACACATACTCCACTCACTCACTCACTCACTCACACACACATACTCCACTCACTCACTCACTCACACACACAACACTCACTCACTCACTCACACACACATACTCCACTCACTCACTCACTCACCATACTCCACTCACACTCACTCACACACCACTCCACTCACTCACTCACACACACACATACTCCACTCACTCACTCACTCACACACACATACTCACTCACTCACTCACTCACTCACTCACACACACACTCACTCACTCACTCACTCACTCACTCACTCACACACATACTCCACTCACTCACACTCACACACACATACTCCACTCACTCACTCACTCACACACACATACTCCACTCACTCACTCACTCACACACCACATACTCACTCACTCACTCACTCACACACACATACTCCACTCACTCACTCACTCACACACACACTCCACTCACTCACTCACACACACATATCCACTCACTCACTCACTCACACACACATACTCCACTCACTCACTCACTCACACACACATACTCACTCACTCACTCTCACACATACTCCACTCACTCACTCACTCACTCACTCACACTCACACACTCACTCACTCACTCACTCACACATACTCCACTCACTCACTCACTCACACATACTCCACTCACTCACTCACTCACACATACTCCACTCACTCACTCACTCACACACTCACTCACTCACTCACTCACTCACTCACTCACACACTCACTCACTCACACTCATCACTCACTCACTCACACACACACTCACTCACACGACTCACTCACTCACACATACTCCACTCACTCACTCACTCACTCACTCACTCACTCACACATCCACTCACTCACTCACTCACTCACTCACTCACACTCACACACTCACTCACTCATCACACACACTCACTCACTCACTCACACACTCACTCACACACATACTCCACTCACTCACTCACTCACTCACTCACTCACACACTCACTCACTCACTCACACATACTCCACTCACTCACTCACTCACACATACTCCACTCACTCACTCACTCACTCACACTCACACAACTCCACTCACTCACTCACTCACTCACACACTCACTCACTCACACATACTCCACACACACACACACACACACACACACACACACACACACACACACACACACACACACACACAC